GATCCAGAAAGACGGAGGATCTAGAGAGAGACTGAGGATCCAGAGAGAGACTGCGGATCCAGAGAGAGACTGAGGATCCAGAGAGAGACTGAGGATCCAGAGAGAGACTGCGGATCCAGAGAGAGACTGAGGATCCAGAGAGAGACGGAGGATCCAGAGAGAGACTGCGGATCCAGAGAGAGACTGAGGATCCAGAGAGAGACTGAGGATCCAGAGAGAGACTGCGGATCCAGAGAGAGACTGAGGATCCAGAGAGAAACTGCGGATCCAGAGAGACGGAGGATCCAGAGAGAGACGGAGGATCCAGAGAGACGGCGGATCCAGAGAAAGACGGAGGATCCAGAGAGAGACGGAGGATCCAGAGAGAGACGGAGGATCCAGAGAGACGGAGGATCCAGAGAGAGACGGAGGATCCAGAGAGAGACGGAGGATCCAGAGAGACGGAGGATCCAGAGAGAGACGGAGGATCCAGAGAGAGACGGAGGATCCAGAGAGAGACGGAGGATCCAGAGAGAGACGGAGGATCCAGAGAGACGGAGGATCCAGAGAGAGACGGAGGATCCAGAGAGAGACGGAGGATCCAGAGAGAGACGGAGGATCCAGAGAGAGACGGAGGATCCAGAGAGAGACGGAGGATCCAGAGAGAGACGGAGGATCCAGAGAGAGACGGAGGATCCAGAGAGACGGAGGATCCAGAGAGAGACGGAGGATCCAGAGGGAAACAGCTGGTTTTTCAGATTTATTTTTTAGCAGCTGTGTTTTTACGGAGCAGTGACAAAGCAACAATGAGAAAACGTCTCCTTCAGGCAGAGATAAAACCTGAAAACTGTGGCCCCATTTGTAAACACAACTTCTCCGGCTGTTTACATTTTAGTGTTAGTATTTAAATCACTGCACAACCTGGTTCCATTATATCTCATTCACTCTCTCACACACACACACACACACACACACGCACACACACACACACACACACAGCCACACACACACACACACACACACACACAGCCACACACACACACACACACACCTAAAGTAATTTGAATTAAAAGTATTTTATAATCAGTCTGAACGGGAACAATAAGGTGAGGGTTATTTTCTCTATAATTTTCAGGTGAAAGCCAGATCCCTGCAGACCTCTGATGCTAAGCAAGGCAGGGCCTGGTTAGTGCTGAGATGGGAGACCTCCGGGAACAACATTTACAATATTAGACAAACCTCTCAATAAAATGCAGTTTAGCAAAACCACCTAAAGCTCGGCCTCTGAAGTTAAAAACACCTGCACCAACTGTGACCCTGCAGCAGAAACTCATAATAATAATAATAATAATAATACATCACACTTGTACAGCGCTTTTTGGACACTCAAAGACGCTTCAAATGGGAAAATAATAGAATCAAATAAAAAAGGGGTTTATGGAAAAGCTTAACTCTTGAATAAATCCCAAAGACATTAATGTATTTACGTCACTGCTCTTTAATTCTCCTCTTTCTGATCCGTCTCGTTGTAATCACTTGGTTCCTTCCACCTCGAAGCCTCTTCCAGACCATAGGAACTCACGGAACATTGAACACGGTTAATTAAAGCCATTCTGTAATTGGACATTAAACATCAGTCGTTGAGTCACGCTTTGTTAGGCCAAAGTACACACAGGTTTTTACTGTTTTTACTCATTTAAGACAGTTCTAGATCATTCTATAAAGACTGTAGACAGAGGTTTAACTGTGTGTGAGTGTGAAACAGCTTCATCGTTGTTAAATCTTTCAGGATCCAAACAACATTAAAACATCAGTGATAATCGAAAACATGGATTCCAGACGAAAATAAACCAGAAAACAAACAGTTCAAAGCAAATATTCTCAGATCTACAATAAACCTGGACCTCAGAGTTTACGACAGTGATATTCAAAGAAGAAGTACTCGAGTACACATATATAGATCTCTGCTCTGGTCTGGACCAGTGCAAACCAAACACTGAACCGCAACAACAGTTTCAGAGACACTTTGGACTCGCTGCAGTTTCCAGAACATTCTAAAGTAAATATAAAAGAGAACGTTATATTTCCCTGACCAGTCTTCACTCCTTCATAAAGTGTCTGTCTGTCTGTCTGTCTGTCTGTCTGTCTGTCTGTCTGTCTCTGATTGATTCCTTTGTTTCAAAACGGTGTTGAGAGAAAGTCCTTGATCTTTTGTGACGTTCATGTTGCTCCTGTTTGAGCAGAGACTGTTCTGAGGTCTGCAGCCACAGCCTGTCTCTGATGAACTGTGCAGGGGGGGCTGTGAGGGGGGGGGGGGGGGGGGGCACTGTGAGGGGGGGCTGTGGAGGCTGTGGGGGGGGGGGGCAGGTGCGTAGTCGTGTCACACCAGCCTCATCCGTCAGCGTTCTGGATTATTCTTTGAGAGACCAGATCTGGCGGCCCCCGAAATTTAGGCCGTCATCAATCAGCCGGGGACGCAGGACACAAGGAGGACACGGGGCTCAGAGAAGGGCTCAGGGGGGAAGGTGGAGAGATAAGTTTCCATCTGACGAAGCAGGTTGGAGCGACTCTCTCTCAGGTTTCCATTTTGAATACATCAGTTTGTCACAGAACAGAAACGTGTCAGGTCCAGAAACACCTGAGAACAAGACTTAGACTAAAATAAAGGCATTTAATTGTTTTGTTTTGAAATTTAAAACATGGTGACTGAAAATTGCAAACAAAAATAGTCACAATGTTAGAAAAATCCAATAGAAGAATTCAGGTCCATTTCAAACTCAAACCTGATGAACAAATCCTTATATTCCACAGTGCATTGGGTTTGAGCATAAATAATAAATATATTGAATATTTTAAAAGAAAATCTGTCATTTTGAAATCACATTGAAATGAGTGATTTTTTAGGGTTAAAAATATCAAATGGAAAAATTCAAATTCATTTAAAAGTCAAAATCTGCAGAAAATCTCGCACAGACGTCTTTCTTTTGGAGAGTTCTTCACTGAAAACCGTGTCACGTCAGAGACTTACAGAAAACATATCAGAATAAGAAGAAACTGATTTTATTTTAGGCAAGACACTGTGGGTTTTATATTTTTGTGATGATAAATAAGTACAATAATCTAAACGTGAAATAAAACACAGAAATATAAAAGTGCAGTTTTGGTTTGTTCGCTGGAAGTTAAAAGGTAAAGTCTAAAACTATAAATATAATCCAAAAGGTTTCACTACGTTTGACATTTGTAGAAACATTTCCAACGACAGCAGAAAAACTCTCACGGGTAAAATATAAAGAATGTCATTAATAAGCAGTACTTTCTCCTGGGCTTATAGAGAGATGCGGCTAATATGTGTTTTTACTCAGAGGCAGAGTTTGTGAACTTGTTTTGGCTCCATTGAGCTCCAGTCGCTGTGGGACACTATTGTCAAAGAAGTCAGTTTTGGAAGCTAACGGTTAAATCATGTAAAACCAGTCGTCGCTGCTACGCTACAGCCTCAAACCCTGCGGCTTATATTCAGGTTTGGCTTATATGTGACTGCACTTTAATGAAGCTCAAGCGGATGTTCAGACTGAAAGACCGAGTGCCTGCCAGCCTCGAGCCTCAGCCAATCACACAGCTCTGCCAGCCTCGAGCCTCAGCCAATCACACAGCCAGGCCAGCCTCCTGCCAACCCTCTCAGAGCAAAGCGGGCAGTTTAAAAGGCAGCCACTTCCTGACAAACAACGCTTCCTGAGGCTCTTAAACACCCACCACCTCCCCAGCACCCCCTCTGGCTCTTGGCTCCCGCTCTGGCTCCCGCTCTGGCTCCCGCTCTAGGCTCCCACTCCGGCTCCTGCTCCGCCTACGCCCCATTCACACCATACTCTAGCCACCACCAGTGATTGACCCCGGGGGATCTGAGATCATCTCAGCTGCAATCGATCTCATAGCTGCAAGTGTCACTGCCGGGGTCAATGCGCCAAACAAATAAATCATTTTAATGTATTTATCGTGTCTTTGGTCTCTTCAGATTGAATTCTTAAATCCTGCTGGTGAGGCTTATACACAGAGTACGGTAAATGCCCTGGTGTCAAAATGGTACAGAGTGAAAATGAGTTTGAAAAACACACAAGAACATTTATTTATTGATTTATTTAGAGAATAATAATAATAATAATAATAAATCGGTTTTATACAGCACTTTTTTGGACTCTCAAAGACGCTTCAAATGTCATTATTCTTTCTCTCCAAACACGGTGGTGATAAACTGCCATTCACACACACACCAGACTCATGCTGACGTGGGGGAAGTGTCTTGCCCAAGGGTAAGCGACATACTGTATAAAGCACCACTGGATATTAACTCATTGACTGCCAGACGTTTTTTAATGATTTCACTGACTTTCAAGACCAACAGAATATTGTGTGTTGTGACTATGGAAATTATGAAACCAAATTCTGAAAGATTGGACCGTCTACTTTCATCTGCAAAAATACGTCGGTGTCTAGCTAGTTTTGTTCTGTTATAATCTCCAGTCGCATAGAGAGAAGTTTGACAGAAATCACCAGTCTCAGCCAAATACGTCCACGGCAGTCAATGAGTTAATGTTTTTCTCCAAAGTTGATTTTCTGATTAAAAACCCGAGTGCGGCGCATCCACAGGTCTCCAAAAGCTCTTTCAGATTTGTCCTTTTTCTCACTTTCTTTTCACATTCGAAGCGTTCTTTTCAGCAGAAGCCGTTTCAGAGTTTGAGCAGAGCAGTATATTTCATTTGTCTGTTTAAACATTTCCTCTGCGCAGCTGCTCACATATCTTTTTATTGTATGAATTGTGCCATACAGATAAACTTGCCCATTATCCTCTGAAACAACTTGATTATGAAAACAACACAGCATGAAAAGCACTGCATGTTTTTCAGATTGAACATTTCTCTGCCGTGTCCTGCTCACTGTAGCTCGGTCTATTTCTGTCCGAGGTTTCTGCGCCGCATGAAACCAGAGAGACGCTACAATTATAAAATCAATTTCAATACAAATATTCATCACAGCATTTCAATTCCAAGAAACCTGCGCTGGTCCGAGAGAGTCTGAGTCAGGTCCACGTCAAACCTGCGCTGGTCCCAGAGAGTCTGAGTCAGGTCCACGTCAAACCTGCGCTGGTCCCAGAGAGTCTGAGTCAGGTCCACGTCAAACCTGCGCTGGTCCGAGAGAGTCTGAGTCAGGTCCACGTCAAACCTGCGCTGGTCCGAGAGAGTCTGAGTCAGGTCCACGTCAAACCTGCGCTGGTCCGAGAGAGTCTGAGTCAGGTCCACGTCAAACCTGCGCTGGTCCGAGAGAGTCTGAGTCAGGTCCACGTCAAACCTGCACTGGTCCCAGAGAGTCTGAGTCAGGTCCACGTCAAACCTGCGCTGGTCCCAGAGAGTCTGAGTCAGGTCCACGTCAAACCTGCGCTGGTCCGAGAGAGTCTGAGTCAGGTCCACGTCAAACCTGCGCTGGTCCCAGAGAGTCTGAGTCAGGTCCACGTCAAACCTGCGCTGGTCCCAGAGAGTCTGAGTCAGGTCCACGTCAAACCTGCGCTGGTCCGAGAGAGTCTGAGTCAGGTCCACGTCAAACCTGCGCTGGTCCGAGAGAGTCTGAGTCAGGTCCACGTCAAACCTGCGCTGGTCCCAGAGAGTCTGAGTCAGGTCCACGTCAAACCTGCGCTGGTCCCAGAGAGTCTGAGTCAGGTCCACGTCAAACCTGCGCTGGTCCCAGAGAGTCTGAGTCAGGTCCACGTCAAACCTGCGCTGGTCCCAGAGAGTCTGAGTCAGGTCCACGTCAAACCTGCGCTGGTCCCAGAGAGTCTGAGTCAGGTCCACGTCAAACCTGCGCTGGTCCCAGAGAGTCTGAGTCAGGTCCACGTCAAACCTGCGCTGGTCCCAGAGAGTCTGAGTCAGGTCCACGTCAAACCTGCGCTGGTCCGAGAGAGTCTGAGTCAGGTCCACGTCAAACCTGCGCTGGTCCCAGAGAGTCTGAGTCAGGTCCACGTCAAACCTGCGCTGGTCCCAGAGAGTCTGAGTCAGGTCCACGTCAAACCTGCGCTGGTCCCAGAGAGTCTGAGTCAGGTCCACGTCAAACCTGCGCTGGTCCCAGAGAGTCTGAGTCAGGTCCACGTCAAACCTGCGCTGGTCCCAGAGAGTCTGAGTCAGGTCCACGTCAAACCTGCGCTGGTCCGAGAGAGTCTGAGTCAGGTCCACGTCAAACCTGCGCTGGTCCGAGAGAGTCTGAGTCAGGTCCACGTCAAACCTGCGCTGGTCCCAGAGAGTCTGAGTCAGGTCCACGTCAAACCTGCGCTGGTCCCAGAGAGTCTGAGTCAGGTCCACGTCAAACCTGCGCTGGTCCCAGAGAGTCTGAGTCAGGTCCACGTCAAACCTGCGCTGGTCCCAGAGAGTCTGAGTCAGGTCCACGTCAAACCTGCGCTGGTCCCAGAGAGTCTGAGTCAGGTCCACGTCAAACCTGCGCTGGTCCCAGAGAGTCTGAGTCAGGTCCACGTCAAACCTGCGCTGGTCCCAGAGAGTCTGAGTCAGGTCCACGTCAAACCTGCGCTGGTCCGAGAGAGTCTGAGTCAGGTCCACGTCAAACCTGCGCTGGTCCCAGAGAGTCTGAGTCAGGTCCACGTCAAACCTGCGCTGGTCCCAGAGAGTCTGAGTCAGGTCCACGTCAAACCTGCGCTGGTCCCAGAGAGTCTGAGTCAGGTCCACGTCAAACCTGCGCTGGTCCCAGAGAGTCTGAGTCAGGTCCACGTCAAACCTGCGCTGGTCCCAGAGAGTCTGAGTCAGGTCCACGTCAAACCTGCGCTGGTCCGAGAGAGTCTGAGTCAGGTCCACGTCAAACCTGCGCTGGTCCGAGAGAGTCTGAGTCAGGTCCACGTCAAACCTGCGCTGGTCCGAGAGAGTCTGAGTCAGGTCCACGTCAAACCTGCGCTGGTCCGAGAGAGTCTGAGTCAGGTCCACGTCAAACCTGCGCTGGTCCCAGAGAGTCTGAGTCAGGTCCACGTCAAACCTGCGCTGGTCCGAGAGAGTCTGAGTCAGGTCCACGTCAAACCTGCGCTGGTCCCAGAGAGTCTGAGTCAGGTCCACGTCAAACCTGCGCTGGTCCCAGAGAGTCTGAGTCAGGTCCACGTCAAACCTGCGCTGGTCCCAGAGAGTCTGAGTCAGGTCCACGTCAAACCTGCGCTGGTCCGAGAGAGTCTGAGTCAGGTCCACGTCAAACCTGCGCTGGTCCGAGAGAGTCTGAGTCAGGTCCACGTCAAACCTGCGCTGGTCCGAGAGAGTCTGAGTCAGGTCCACGTCAAACCTGCGCTGGTCCGAGAGAGTCTGAGTCAGGTCCACGTCAAACCTGCGCTGGTCCCAGAGAGTCTGAGTCAGGTCCACGTCAAACCTGCGCTGGTCCGAGAGAGTCTGAGTCAGGTCCACGTCAAACCTGCGCTGGTCCGAGAGAGTCTGAGTCAGGTCCACGTCAAACCTGCGCTGGTCCGAGAGAGTCTGAGTCAGGTCCACGTCAAACCTGCGCTGGTCCGAGAGAGTCTGAGTCAGGTCCACGTCAAACCTGCGCTGGTCCGAGAGAGTCTGAGTCAGGTCCACGTCAAACCTGCGCTGGTCCCAGAGAGTCTGAGTCAGGTCCACGTCAAACCTGCGCTGGTCCGAGAGAGTCTGAGTCAGGTCCACGTCAAACCTGCGCTGGTCCCAGAGAGTCTGAGTCAGGTCCACGTCAAACCTGCGCTGGTCCGAGAGAGTCTGAGTCAGGTCCACGTCAAACCTGCGCTGGTCCGAGAGAGTCTGAGTCAGGTCCACGTCAAACCTGCGCTGGTCCCAGAGAGTCTGAGTCAGGTCCACGTCAAACCTGCGCTGGTCCCAGAGAGTCTGAGTCAGGTCCACGTCAAACCTGCGCTGGTCCCAGAGAGTCTGAGTCAGGTCCACGTCAAACCTGCGCTGGTCCCAGAGAGTCTGAGTCAGGTCCACGTCAAACCTGCGCTGGTCCGAGAGAGTCTGAGTCAGGTCCACGTCAAACCTGCGCTGGTCCCAGAGAGTCTGAGTCAGGTCCACGTCAAACCTGCGCTGGTCCCAGGGAGTCTGAGTCAGGTCCACGTCAAACCTGCGCTGGTCCCAGAGAGTCTGAGTCAGGTCCACGTCAAACCTGCGCTGGTCCGAGAGAGTCTGAGTCAGGTCCACGTCAAACCTGCGCTGGTCCGAGAGAGTCTGAGTCAGGTCCACGTCAAACCTGCGCTGGTCCGAGAGAGTCTGAGTCAGGTCCACGTCAAACCTGCGCTGGTCCGAGAGAGTCTGAGTCAGGTCCACGTCAAACCTGCGCTGGTCCGAGAGAGTCTGAGTCAGGTCCACGTCAAACCTGCGCTGGTCCCAGAGAGTCTGAGTCAGGTCCACGTCAAACCTGCGCTGGTCCGAGAGAGTCTGAGTCAGGTCCACGTCAAACCTGCGCTGGTCCCAGAGAGTCTGAGTCAGGTCCACGTCAAACCTGCGCTGGTCCCAGAGAGTCTGAGTCAGGTCCACGTCAAACCTGCGCTGGTCCCAGAGAGTCTGAGTCAGGTCCACGTCAAACCTGCGCTGGTCCGAGAGAGTCTGAGTCAGGTCCACGTCAAACCTGCGCTGGTCCGAGAGAGTCTGAGTCAGGTCCACGTCAAACCTGCGCTGGTCCGAGAGAGTCTGAGTCAGGTCCACGTCAAACCTGCGCTGGTCCGAGAGAGTCTGAGTCAGGTCCACGTCAAACCTGCGCTGGTCCCAGAGAGTCTGAGTCAGGTCCACGTCAAACCTGCGCTGGTCCGAGAGAGTCTGAGTCAGGTCCACGTCAAACCTGCGCTGGTCCGAGAGAGTCTGAGTCAGGTCCACGTCAAACCTGCGCTGGTCCGAGAGAGTCTGAGTCAGGTCCACGTCAAACCTGCGCTGGTCCGAGAGAGTCTGAGTCAGGTCCACGTCAAACCTGCGCTGGTCCGAGAGAGTCTGAGTCAGGTCCACGTCAAACCTGCGCTGGTCCGAGAGAGTCTGAGTCAGGTCCACGCCAAACCTGCGCTGGTCCGAGAGAGTCTGAGTCAGGTCCACGCCAAACCTGCGCTGGTCCGAGAGAGTCTGAGTCAGGTCCACGTCAAACCTGCGCTGGTCCGAGAGAGTCTGAGTCAGGTCCACGTCAAACCTGCGCTGGTCCGAGAGAGTCTGAGTCAGGTCCACGTCAAACCTGCGCTGGTCCGAGAGAGTCTGAGTCAGGTCCACGTCAAACCTGCGCTGGTCCGAGAGAGTCTGAGTCAGGTCCACGTCAAACCTGCGCTGGTCCCAGAGAGTCTGAGTCAGGTCCACGCCAAATCTGCGCTGGTCCGAGAGAGTCTGAGTCAGGTCCACTTCAAACCTGCGCTGGTCCGAGAGAGTCTGAGTCAGGTCCACGTCAAACCTGCGCTGGTCCCAGAGAGTCTGAGTCAGGTCCACTTCAAACCTGCGCTGGTCCGAGAGAGTCTGAGTCAGGTCCACGTCAAACCTGCGCTGGTCCGAGAGAGTCTGAGTCAGGTCCACGTCAAACCTGCGCTGGTCCGAGAGAGTCTGAGTCAGGTCCACTTCAAACCTGCGCTGGTCCCAGAGAGTCTGAGTCAGGTCCACGTCAAACCTGCGCTGGTCCCAGAGAGTCTGAGTCAGGTCCACGTCAAACCTGCGCTGGTCCCAGAGAGTCTGAGTCAGGTCCACTTCAAACCTGCGCTGGTCCGAGAGAGTCTGAGTCAGGTCCACGTCAAACCTGCGCTGGTCCGAGAGAGTCTGAGTCAGGTCCACGTCAAACCTGCGCTGGTCCCAGAGAGTCTGAGTCAGGTCCACGTCAAACCTGCGCTGGTCCGAGAGAGTCTGAGTCAGGTCCACTTCAAACCTGCGCTGGTCCGAGAGAGTCTGAGTCAGGTCCACTTCAGATTCATGTTTTACTGAGGGCGCTTTGTACTTTACTAATGTATTTATCACCTCAGCTAAAGAGAAACAGTTGAAGAGGATTGCAATTATAATAATACTAATAAAACACCCAAGAACACTGTACAGGACATAAAGGAAAGGCTCATTTGTAAACACACTGTTTTCACACATTTAACACAAAAGATCAAGGCAAAAGAATCATAAATACTTTAAAAAGATGCAAACCTTAAAATAAATCACTTTTCTCCAAAGTTAACGACTTTTTTACACAGAAAACCCCAGATTAATGCACTGTACTGAACCAAGCTCCACCTCTGCTGCTGAGACCTGCTCCACCCAGAGGCTACTCCACCTCTGCTGCTGTGACCCGTCCTGCTCCACCCAGAGGCTACTCCACCTCTGCTGCTGTGACCCATCCTGCTCCACCCAGAGGCTACTCCACCTCTGCTGCTGTGACCCGTCCTGCTCCACCCAGAGGCTACTCCACCTCTGCTGCTGTGACCTGTCCTGCTCCACCCAGAGGCTACTCCACCTCTGCTGCTGTGACCCATCCTGCTCCACCCAGAGACTACTCCACCTCTGCTGCTGTGACCCGTCCTGCTCCACCCAGAGGCTACTCCACCTCTGCTGCTGTGACCTGCTCCACCCAGAGGCTACTCCACCTCTGCTGCTGAGACCTGCTCCACCCAGAGGCTACTCCACCTCTGCTGCTGTGACCTGCCCTGCTCCACCCAGAGGCTACTCCACCTCTGCTGCTATGACCTGCCCTACAGCCGCGGGTGAGACGGTGATGGTGACTCTGTGATGGTGGACTCTGTGACGGTGGACTCTGTGATGACTCTGTGGACTCTGTGACATCACAGAGTCATCACAGAGTCATCTGACTCTGTGATGACTCTGTGATGACTCTGTGATGACTCTGTGGTGACTCTGTGATGACTCTGTGGTGACTCTGTGGTGACTCTGTGGACTCTGTGATGACTCTGTGATGACTCTGTGATGACTCTGTGACGGTGGACTCTGTGATGACTCTGTGGACTCTGTGATGACTCTGTGATGACTCTGTGATGATGGACTGTTTTCCTGTTCTCTCTTCTTCTCTTCTGATCTGTGCATTATTCAGGAGACACTTACTGAGCCTCGCACTTCCTCGTTCGTCTGTGGCACCGAGCTCGTCACAAAACGCTAAACTAGAAGCCTTTAAAAAATTCATCCAAAGCGCTGTGTGTGTGTGTCTCTGTGTGTGTGTGTGTGTGTGTGTGTGTGTGTGTGTGTGTGTGTGTGTGTGTGTGTGTGTGTGTGTGTGTGTGTGTGTGTGTGTGTGTGTGTGTGTGTGTGTGTGTGTGTGTGTGTGTGTGTGTGTGTGTGTGTGTGTGTGTGTGTGTGTGTGTGTGTGTGTCGTCCTCTCGTTCCAATTAACAGCACTGGAACCTTTCGAGAACTTTCTATCTGTCTGTGTCTGTGAGTGAGTGTCAGCTTTTTCTAACATGCTAGTATAAGCTAATGTGTGTGTGTCTCTGTCTGTACGTGTGTGTGTGTCTCTCTCTGTATGTGTGTGTGTGTCTCTGTCTGTACGTGTGTGTGTGTCTCTCTCTGTACGTGTGTGTGTCTCTCTCTGTACGTGTGTGTGTCTCTCTCTGTACGTGTGTGTGTCTCTCTCTGTACGTGTGTGTCTCTCTCTGTATGTGTGTGTGTGTCTCTCTCTGTACGTGTGTGTGTCTCTCTCTGTATGTCCATCCATCCATTTTCTTCCGCTTTATCCGTTGCCGGGTCGCGGGGGCAGCAGTCTAAGCAGAGACGCCCAGACTTCCCTATCCACACACACCTCCTCAAGCTCGTCCGGGGGGACCCCTAGGCGTTCCCAGGCCAGCTGAGAGACATAGTCTCTCCAGCGTGTCCTGGGTCTTCCCCGGGGCCTCCTCCCGGTGGGACGTGCCCGGAACACCTCCCCAGGAAGGCGTCCAGGAGGCATCCTGAACAGATGCCCGAGCCACCTCAACTGGTTCCTCTCGACGTGGAGAAGCAGCGGCTCTACTCCGAGCTCCTCCCGTGTGACCGAGCTCCTCACCCTATCTCTAAGGGAGCGCCCAGCCACTCTGCGGAGGAAGCTCATTTCGACCGCTTGTATCCGCGATCTCGTTCTTTCGGTCATTACCCACAGCTCATGACCATAGGTGAGGGAGGGAACGAAGATTGACCGGTAAATTGAGAGCTTTGCCTTTCGGCTCAGCTCCCTCTTTACCACAACGGTCCGATACAGAGACCGCATCACTGCGCACGCTGCACCGATCCGCCTGTCAATCTCACGCTCCATTCTTCCCTCACTCGTGAACAAGACCCCGAGATACTTGAACTCCTCCACTTGAGGAAGGACCTCTCCACCCACCTGGAGAGGGCAAGGCACCTTTTTCCGGTCAAGCACCATGGCCTCGGATTTGGAGGTGCTGATTCTCATCCCAGCCGCTTCACACTCGGCTGCAAACCGTCCCAGTGCATGTTGCAGGTCCTGGTTCGTTGGAGCCAGCAGGACGACATCATCCGCAAAAAGTAGAGATGAAATCCTGTGGTTCCCGAACCGGACCCCCTCCGGCCCCTGGCTGCGCCTAGAGATTCTGTCCATAAATACAGTGAACAGAACCGGTGACAAAGGGCAGCCTTGGCGGAGGCCAACATGCACCGGGAACAGGTCTGACTTACTGCCAGCAATGCGAACACAGCTCTGGCTCCGGTCATACAGGGACCGAACAGCCCTCAGCAGAGGACCCCGGACCCCGTACTCCCGGAGGACCCCCCAAAGGACACCCCGGGGAACGCGGTCGAACGCCTTCTCCAAATCCACAAAGCACATGTGGACAGGTTGGGCGAACTCCCATGAACCCTCGAGTATCCGATGGAGAGTATAGAGCTGGTCCAGTGTTCCGCGACCGGGACGAAAACCACACTGCTCCTCCTGAATCCGAGATTCGACCATCGGACGAAGCCTCCTCTCCAGTACCTTGGAGTAGACCTTACCGGGGAGGCTGAGGAGTGTGATCCCATGATAATTGGAACACACCCTCCGGTCCCCCTTCTTGTAGAGAGGGACCACCACCCCGGTCTGCCACTCCATTGGCACCGCCCCCGATCGCCACGCGATGTTGCAGAGACGTGTCAGCCAAGACAGTCCTACAACATCCAGAGACTTTAGATAGTCAGGACGGATCTCATCCACTCCCGGCGCCTTGCCACCATGGAGGCTGCCAACCACCTTGGTGACCTCGGCCAGGGAGATGGAAGTATCCGCCCCAACATCCTCAGCCTCTGCCTCCTGGACGGGGGACGTGACGGGGGGATTGAGGAGAACCTCGAAGTATTCCTTCCACCGCCCGACAATATCCCCAGTCGAGGTCAGCAGCCCTCCACCCGCACCATACACGGTGTTGGCAAAGAACTGCTTCCCCCTCCTGAGGCGCCGGACGGTTTGCCAGAACCTCTTCGAGGCCGACCGATAGTCATGCTCCATGGACTCTCCGAACTCCTCCCAGTCCCGGGTTTTTGCCTCTGCAACAGCCCGGGCCGCGGCACGTTTGGCCTGCCGGTACTGGACAGCTGCCTCAGGAGTCCCACGAACCATCATTGCTCGATAGGACTCCTTCTTCAGCCTGACGGCATCCCTTACTGCCGGTGTCCACCACCGGGTTCGGGGATTGCCGCCGGGACCAGCACCAGAGACCTTGCGACCACAGCTACGAGCCGCCGCATTGGCGATAGAGGAAGAGAACATGGTCCACTCGGACTCGATGTCCCCCTCCTCTGCCGGGACCTGGGAGAAGCTCTCCCGGAGGTGTGAGTTGAAAGTCCGTCTGACAGGGGGCTCAGCGAGACGTTCCCAGCAAACCCTCACTACACGCTTGGGCCTGCCAGGTCTGACCGGCCTCCTGCCCTGCCAGCGGATCCAACTCACGACCAGGTGATGATCGGTTGACAGCTCCGCCCCTCTCTTCACCCGAGTGTCCGAGACACGCGGTCGAAGGTCAGATGATACGACTACAAAGTCGATCATCGACCTCCGGCCTAGGGTGTCCTGGTGCCACGTGCACTGATGGACACCCTTGTGCTCGAACATGGTGTTCGTGATGGACAGGCCGTGACTGGCACAGAAGTCCAACAACTGAACACCGCTCGGGTTCAGATCAGGGGGGCCGCTCTTCCCGATCACCCCTCTCCAAGTGTCACTGGCATTTCCCACATGGGCGTTGAAGTCCCCCAGGAGAATAACGGAGTCCCCGGGCGGTGCACTGTCCAGTACCCCTCCCAAGGACTCCAAGAAGGCCGGGTACTCTGCACTACCGTTAGGCCCGTAGGCCGTCACAACAGTGAGAGACTTGTCCCCCACCCGGAGGCGGAGGGACGCGACCCTCTCATTCACCGGGGAGAACTCCAACACGTGGCGGCTGAGATGGGGGGCAATGAGTATGGCCACCCCAGCTCGCCGCCTCTCCCCGCGGGAAACACCAGAAAAGTGGAGCGTCCAACCCCTCTCAAGGAGTTGGGTTCCAGAGCCCAAGCTGTGTGTGGAGGTGAGGCCGACTATCTCTAGTCGGTATCGCTCAACCTCCCCCACAAGCTCGGGCTCCTTCCCCCCCAGTGAGGTGACGTTCCACGTCCCAAGAGCCAGATGTTGGGTGTGTGGACTGGGTCGTCGAGGTCTCCGCCTTCGACTGCTGCCCAGTCCTCTCTGCACCTCGCCACCACGGACCCCTCTGCAGGTGGTGGGCCCACAGGAGGGCTTGCCCACGTCATCCCTTCGGGCTGAGCCCGGCCGGGCCCCGTGGGCTAAGGCCCGGCCACCAGGCGCTCGCTTGCGAGCCCCGACCCCAGGCCTGGCTCCAGGGTGGGGCCCCGGCTGCGCCATGCCGGGCGACGTCACGGTTTTTGTTGTCGTGCTGTCCATGGTTGGCTTCGGACTGCGCTTCGTCTGACTCGTCACTTGAGACCTGTCTGCCATGGGAGACCCTACCAGGGGCATGAAGCCCCAGACAGCATAGCTCCCAGGATCATCCGAGTGCTCAAACTCCCCCACCACGTTAAGGTGGCAGTCCAAGGACTATCTCTGTATGTGTGTCTCAGAAATAGTTCTAGATCAGTGTTTCAGACTCAGAGACAGTTCTAGATCAGTGTTTCAGACTCAGAGATAGTTCTAGATCAGTGTTTCAGACTCAGAGATAGTTCTAGATCAGTGTTTCAGACTCAGAGACAGTTCTAGATCAGTGTTTCAGACTCAGAGACAGTTCTAGATCAGTGTTTCAGACTCAGAGACAGTTCTAGATCAGTGTTTCAGACTCAGAGACAGTTCTAGATCAGTGTTTCAGACTCAGAGACAGTTCTAGATCAGTGTTTCAGACTCAGAGACAGTTCTAGATCAGTGTTTCAGACTCAGAGACAGTTCTAGATCAGTGTTTCAGACTCAGAGACAGTTCTAGATCAGTGTTTCAGACTCAGAGACAGTTTTAGATCAGTGTTTCAGACTCAGAGACAGTTCTAGATCAGTGTTTCAGACTCAGAGACAGTTCTAGATCAGTGTTTCAGACTCAGAGACAGTTCTAGATCAGTGTTTCAGACTCAGAGACAGTTCTAGATCAGTGTTTCAGACTCAGAGATAGTTCTAGATCAGTGTTTCAGACTCAGAGATAGTTCTAGATCATCAGTTTTAGACTCAGGCAGAGATAGCATCCGTGTTTTACAAGTGCTGAGCTGCAGTTAAAGCTCCGGTGCTCATTGTTAGAAGCTTAAAGAATCCTTTTGCTCCCTTCACCACAAACCCACACACACCAAAGCTTTCTCCATAATCACAGAATTAGCTCCGCCTCAGCATCTACTGTAAAGCACTCCCCGTTTGCCCCCACGGCGCACACGGCTTCAAGCTTAATTGCCAAACATTTCCAGTGGAAAAGGGGTGAATCATAATTGTCATTTCCGACTAAGCCACAATGATCAAAGCTCCCTCGGCTTCCACAGCAGTAGCAGGGATTTAAGCATTATTCCCACAGTCTGTCTGCGAGATCCCGGGTCAGGATTCCTTCTCATCCAAACACATATATCTCACACATGGACAAAACATGTGGCTTCTTTGTCCACGTCTGCCCTCAAAGCAGCACTCAAAATGCACGTGAAATGCACTTAGTCACACATGATATTTGTTAAAATGCAATTCCAAGGCTGAGAAGTGGCAGTGTGTGTGTAACTGGGAGCTCTATGAATCACTGTGTTACTGGCGGACTGCTGTGCTAAATCATTCTGACACACTGCAGCAGGAGAGAGGTGTGCGAGCTCAGACACAGCAGCCCAAAATAAAGTGCAAACAGGACTTACCCAGGGTGAGGATCTCAGTGTGACCGGGCCGGGCCACGTGATGCTGCTGGATGGTCTGGTACAGAGTGGCCTGGCATAGGAGCACCCAGCCCAGGCCCAACCACGCCGCCAACAGCCACGCCATACTGCCAGGACCACTGCGGGAAGACGTTTGCTTAGTTTCAGTTTTATCACTGAAAGTAAAACGCTGTGGGACGATGGAAGGATCTATTCACCTTAATTTTAATCTTAATCTGAATCTGAATCGTATCGACCCATCACGATACAGCAGATTGTGAGTGTAGATCATGCTAAGGGTGTGTTCTTGTCGCATGAGCTGCTGGGTCAAATTCAATTCAATTTTACATTTATTTCAGACATTTTTGACAATTCAAGACAATTTCAGGCACTTGGCGAAACACAGATTAACATTAAGAGATTAAGAGATCCTGTTTTTTTCCCACAGCGGGTAAAAAAAGTCTAAATAAGGTTTGAAAAAGGGAAAAGGCAGAAGTTTAAACTTAGAAACACGAACCCTTTTGTAAACATTAAACTTAAATTGCTGCAAAAAAACACATTTAGTCCATATTTAAGGTTATTTTCGGCTCAGATTCACAATCAACATTTGTTTGATCACATTTTGTCTTCAGTAAAGTCCAGAAAACGTTTCCAGTTTACAGCGACTCATTTCAGATGTTTACTTACTTATTATTATTTATGTATTGCTTATGACCATATATGGTATGGAGCACGGGTGACAGAACAAAACAAAACAGCAATAATAATAATTAGACCAAAAGAAGAACCATATTTTAACAATGCACTGAGTTTAGAAACGATTCTGTAGCTGCCATTTTTTTTCATTGATGGAAATTTAACAAAAAACTTCAAAAACAGAAAGACATTTACATTTGCTCTAACAGCGGGCTTAACGAACATAACTCTAAAATATGACGAAGATTCCAGGAAAATGGAAAGATCACGAAAAGTGTAAATATCAAAACCTGGATTCAAATGGAAACAAAGCGATCATGTCTCAGAGAGCAGGAGTTTGGATCCTGTTTTCATACACTCGAGAAGAAGAACAAATATGGGTTTTCTCACACTCGTTAGGACTGAAATCATTCAATCTGAGACAGGGAAAGCTGAAACCCCCGATGACCATGGGCGACACTATCGTACATGAAGCACTGATGGTTGGCAGAAGGATGGACTGTTTTTATCTTAGGTATAATAATCTCTGCATTATTATACCTACATCCCCGCCACCTCCAGGCCCTTCCCTCGGCCCCAAGACACCGTCAGTGGGTTTAACCTTGTTCAGGACTGGGAACCATAAACAAACACCAGCACAAAACACTAATACCAGGAGTCCAGCTGGGATACTGCAGTCAGATACAGGCGCTAAAACTCTGGTAATACTGCTATTGTAGGAGCCTATAGATATTTGTATTACTATTTAAATCAAGCAAGTCAGTCCATACAGTGTTTGTAAATGAGTGATATTTTAACTTCTGCCAAAATGAGAGGTTTTAGGCCACAATCGTCACAAATAAACAATTATAGTCAAAGCAGCAGCATAAAAACATAGTGTTTCCAACAGTCTGTATTGTCAGCTTCATCAGGCTTAATCCAGAATATTCCCGGTGTCAATTATCAAAGCAGTGATGTACAAGGTGAACAAAAATAGCTCTAAATCTTCCTCGAACTGACTTCTTCTTGTCATTCCATCATCTGTCTGCAGCGAGATGGATAGCAGTGCTTCTAAATCTGCGCTTGTGCCCGCGGCGACACGGAGCACACTCCATTAGATCATGCGTGTCATTATTATCAGGCCATAAACTTCAATGTCTGATGTTAATCCGTGAAGTTGGTTCCTGAGGAGATACGGAACTGTCTGAGGCGGTTCCGCGCTGTGTTTGGAGCCACTGCGCGTAAATATATGGGAAAGAAATCATATTAAAAACAAATTAAACGCGTCAATTGTGGTTTTTGTCATATTTTCCTCTTGACAAACTTCACAGTCAAAACTCACACTACAAGTTTTCACATCGGGACAGAACGACAGAAGCTTGAGGAGAATCCGAATGAGCTCCATGTGCAAAGAACCAGTGCAGAAACAAAAACACAAACACATATTGTTCTAGATGCTGCAGATATCGCGTTTACAGATATACATTATAGCGTTTTATCGCGTTTACAAGTCCCTCTCGCGATAGTTTATGAGAGATTTCTTACACAATGACAAGTCTATATTATTATTCCAACTTATTCCGCTTTCCTCTTTGGGTGAGCTGATAATGAGCCATGTCATGATTGGAATCTGGGAATCAAACTCCACCCTGATAAAAATCTCTGCTGCTCCAAAGTATTCTTACCTGATGATTATGAGTAAACGCAGCTCTCAGTCTCCGCTGTCCTCTCCAACTCTACCAAGCTTCGCTAAATCCATCCATGGTCCAGATTCCAAAGTATCCCAGACTTGCTCAGTTATTCCTTTTTGGAAAATGTCACAGATTCAGAGTCAGGGTGGATCAGAGGGAGCAGAGAAACAGGGAAACAGCTGAAAAAGTGCAGAGAAGAGGCTAGTTTGGTGTCTCCGTGGCTCCGGGGGAAGGTTCTGCGCTCCTGGCTCCGTGCGTCCCCATTGAGGATGCGCGTCTCCTGCTGATGTGAGCTCCTGCTGTGAGCTCCTGCTGCTGTGAGCTCCTGCTGCTGTGAGCTCCGACTACAGTCTGTGGATGTGGGAAAAGGCAGAGCAGAGTGCGCAACTGGCAGCGTGCGTGTATTACAATGTGGAGGCTGTGAGGAGGCTGTGAGGAGAGGGAGAGATCACATGTCTGGGTGCAGGACTGCCCACTTGTTCAGCCTCTGCATCAACTCTCCATCAGCGGTGTTTGATGAGCCACAGCCGGTGTCAGTGCGCGATGGCCTTCAGCTGGAGACACCGTGAGCCAAGTGCGCGTTGACTCACCGCAGTCTCCGTGTGTGAGAAAGCAGCAGTTGGAAAACACCAAGACATTTCATTATTATTATTCTGATCAAACAAAAACAATTATCTTTGGACCACAGAAGAAGAGAAACCTCCAGTCTAAACTAAAATAAGGTGATTCTCAAATCGTTAACGACAAAACAAGGAATAAAACCAGGATTTCTATCTTTGTGAAAAAGGTGTTGGTTATAGATTTGTTGTTGACAAAACTCTTGTCTATTCAGCTGTTATGGTCCCAGCTGGATTCGTCTGCATATCTGGCAACCTGAGTCAGGGAGAGTGGGAGAGGCTGCAGTACCACTTTTGGACACATTTTTACACACTGCTCCTTCAAAAAACAAATCCAGAATCAAAGATAATGTGTCAAAACCTCAGAAAGACTGATCCTGCTCTGTCTGCTGTGGGCTGGACTGAAAAAGGAGCACAGGGACTGGCCTCCTGCTGGGACTCTGAGGAGCACAGGGACTTGCCTCCTGCTGGGACTCTGAGGAGCACAGGGACTGGTCTCCTGCTGGGACTCTGCAGCACAGGGACTGGTCTCCTGCTGGGACTCTGAGGAGCACAGTAACTGTTCTCCTGCTGGGACTCTGAGGAGCACAGGGACTGGCCTCCTGCTGGGACTCTGAGGAGCACAGGGACTGGCCTCCTGCTGGGGCTCTGAGGAGCACAGGGACTGGTCTCCTGCTGGGACTCTGCAGCACAGGGACTGGTCTCCTGCTGGGACTCTGAGGAGCACAGGGACTGGTCTCCTGCTGGGACTCTGAGGAGCACAGGGACTGGTCTCCTGCTGGGACTCTGCAGCACAGGGACTGGTCTCCTGCTGGGACTCTGAGGAGCACAGGGACTGGTCTCCTGCTGATCCCTAAGTCAGGATGAAACATGAGCAGGCAGCAGTTTACATTCTTGCTAAAATCTGGAGCAGTCTTCCTGAAAATGTGAGACAGATTCTTCTCTGACAATGTTTAAAACCAGGTTAAAAACACTTCTGTTTCTGAAACAACTGAAGGATGTTTTTATGGTAATCTTTTTACTGTGATTGTTCATGATTTTAATGCCTCTTTGCACTTTGCGTTGCCTTTTGTATGAACTGTGCGATACAAATAACCTTGCCTTGCCCTGAGTATGAGCAGAACTCTGTCCTGGTGTGGACTTTGTGAGTACTTTTTCTTGTTTCTCTGTGAGACGAATAAAGGTTTATCTCATTTTGATATATTGGTTCTTCATTGGCTCAGAGACAGTGGCTCAGTGTGTAGAGCATTGGACTTTGAACCTGAAGGTCATGGGTTCGAGCCCACCGTGAGACCTACTTCATGACTCCCACTGATGTCTGCTGTCGTTGTGTCCTTGGGCAAGACACTTAACCCCACTTTGCCTGATGCCCCCACTGAATAAACAAGGCTCCTGTGGACTCAGCTGGATGGGTTCTTCATTGTCTGTTCTGTTAATTGCCAGCCCCGCCCCAATGTGTGTCTCTGTGTGTATTTAATCCCTGTGCTCCTCTGGTTGTGTGTCCCTGTGCTCCTCTCCCCTTGTTGTGATTGTGATTTTGTCCTGGTTTGAGTTTTTAGTTCTGTATCCTGCATTTTGGGTCCTTCCTCCTTTTCAGAACGCGACATAACCCTAATGTGGCGCAGAACTAAAAAAGGTCTCGTTATGATTCTCAAATCATTAACGACAAAACAAGGAATAAAACCAGGATTTCTATCTTTGTGAAAAAGGTGTTGGTTATAGATTTGTTGTTGACAAAACTCTTGTCTATTCAGCTGTTATTGTCCCAGCTGGATTCGTCTGCATATCTGGCAACCTGAGTCAGGGCGAGTGGGAGAGGCTGCAGTACCACTTTTGGCCACATGTTTACACACTTCTCATTTAAGTCATATGTTCTTGTCTTGTTGCCAGATCATGTTTATTATTATAAGCAGTAATTTCAGTGGATTTGTTTTTAGTACAGACCAAGTTTTCCCACCGTCCCACTCAGTCCTAAACCGTCTGGGGGCTCTCATCGTTTCCCAACAGCTGTCATGCCCGGCCGTTCCAACACCAAGCCACAACCAGCCAATCAGAGGCCACCGTTCCCTGGATCGGGGCGAGCCTGATCTGCCAAAACAGCTCCATTTCCTCCTCTTCTCTCTCCGTCCGTCATTAAACCCCTC